ATGGACTCTATGCATGGTGGGTGGTGCCATTCGGGCTTTCTAATGCCTCTAGCACCTTCATGAAAGATTGAGGTAGTTAGTTCTTTTATTGATAAATTTGTTGTGGTTTTCTTTGATGATATCATAGTTTTTAATACTAACCCAAATTGTAACCACTTGGAACAAGTTTTTGATGTACTTAGGAATGAATCACCTTTTGTGAATTTAAAAAAATGCTCATTTATGACGGTCAATGTTATCTTTCGAGAGTGTGTTGTTTCATCAATTCATCTGTGGGTATCAAGTTAGACCAAGAAAAGGTGAAGTTCATAGCTGAGTGGCCAGTGCCAAAGCCACTCACTGAGGTGCGATCTTTTCATGGCATATCAACCTTTTATCGCCGCTTTATCAAAATTTCAGCGCTCTAATAGCAACAGTAACCGATTGTATGAGGGCCTGAAAGTTTTCATGGAGTTTCGTTGCTGAAAAGAGCTTCACTTTAGTTAAACAAAAGATGATGCTAGCACTGGGTACTTGCATTGCTAGATTTTTCAAAGTGTTTGAAGTTGAAACCGATGCATCAAATGTTGACATAGGGAACTCTTCTTCAAGAGCGATGACCAACAACTTTCTTTAGTGAGATGTTGAATGAAGCACATAAAAAGTATACGATCTATAACCTGGTGTTTTATGTAGTAGTGCAGGCGTTGCATTATTGGAGACACTACTTGATCCATAGGGAGTTTTATTCTATGCTCCGATCATGAGGCACTTTGGTACTTGAATTCCCCAAGGAAGTTAAATGTGCGTCATGCTGAGTGGATGTCCTCCTTTCAAGAATGTACCTTCGTATTAAAGCACAAGGTCGGAACCCAAAACAAGTTAGCTGATTCTTTAAGTAGAAGGTTGGTTTTGCTTGGAACTTTGTCTATGGAAGCGTTGCGGTTTGAAATGATAAAGATCAAATATAAGGATGACCCAATTTTCAGCAAGGTCCTAGAAAGATGTATCAATGGGTGACACCCATGGTTCAATATGTAATGTATGATATCTGTTTATTTAAATGTGTATGGTTATGTATACGTGAGCGTTCCCTAAGGGAGAAGATGATTATAGAGCTTCATGGTGGAAGCTTAGGTGGGCACTTGGAAAGGATAAAACCATGGCTATGGTAGAAGAAAAATATTTTTGCCAAGCATGCAAAGGATGTTGACATATTTGTGGCCAGACATCGAATTTGCCAAGTATTTAAATGTCTCACACAAAATATGGGGAATTAAGCTCCCCTCCCTATTCCAAATGTTTCACGGTTGATATCTCTAGGATCTATGTACTTGGACTCCCATGCACCGCACAAGGTATGGATTCTATTTTTGTTGTTGTTGATCGATTTTTCCAAAATAGCACATTTTATTCTCTGTAGAAAAATATGGATGCTACACACATTGCCAATATCTTCTTCAAAGATATCATGAGGCTACATGGTGTCCCCAAATCCATTACATCTGATTGGGATACAAAGTTCTTGAGTTATTTTGGCGCATTTTGTGGAAGCGCTTGGGAGCCTTAAATCTTTTAGCCCTTATCACCCACGAACAGATGGACAGATTGAAGTGCTAAAGAAGAGCCTTAGTAAAACCTCTTGAGGAGTATTGTTGGTCATAGCATATCTCAGTGGGACCTTGCTTTATCCCAGGCTGAATTTTCTTATGTTAGCCCAGTGAATTGGTCTATGGGAAAATTACCATTTGAGATTGTTAATGGGAGGACTACTAATCATGTGCTTGGCTTAGTGCCATTACCAGTGCAAGGCAAGTGATGACACCAATGCTTTTATTGACCATATCTGCGACTTGCAAGCTCAAATCCAGAAGAAAATTGAAGAAAGTAATGCAAAGTACCGAGAAGCCACAAAGGAGCATCGAAGAGAAAAGATTTTCAAGGAGGGTGACTCAGAAATGTTGACTTTAGAAAGGAGAGGTTTCCATTAAGGACCTACAATTAGCTCAAGTCCAAGAATGTGAGCCCTTGCCGAATTTTGAAGAAATATGGGAATAATGCATGTGAGGTGGAATTACTAAAGGCATTCGATATGTTCTCGATATTTAATGTCGCTGATTTATTTGAATTTCATGGAGACCCTTTGGAAGCCTAAGAAAGTAATTGTTGATGTAATAAAGCAATTATCGAGAAAGAAGGAAGAAGAAATCTAGCAAGTTTTGAAGTTTGAAACCTTTCAAACTCGAAGGGGTTCATATTGCCAATAGCTGGTCAAATGGAAGGGAAGGCCATATTCCAATTAGCACGTGGATTTATGAGTAAGAGTTCAAAAAAGTAGATCCAGATTTATACCACCTCTATATTGAAAATAACTTGCTAGAGTCGAGTTCCTTTTAATCTGTGGCATGACGCAACCGTGCTCGAAGCACAAATAGTTTGTGGCTAGGCAAAGAGGGGTAATAGGACCATAGGGGGTAAATGAGCAATATTGTAATTAGGGGTAGTTATTTTGGGTTTTTTATTTTTTTATTTTAATTGTATTTCTAATTCTATTAAGGGCAAGGTTAGTCATTTATTTTTATGTTAATAATGGATGGCTAGGATTAAATGGAATACATGGCTAGGATTTCAATAGAGCTTTTTTGGGTTTTTGACTTACTTAAGTACTTGTTATTGAAGGGTTTAGGGGAGATTAATTGTTATTTTCTGGAGAACTTTTGAGTTAATAAAATTTGGGAGGTGGGTTCGTCTTTGCTTTTGTGATTTTTTCTTCCTTCTCTACTCTTTCTTCCACTTAAGGCTTGTTGTTTATTAGATTTTTTCTGAATTAGGGTGCTGGTTTGAGAAGAATCAACCCTAATTTGCATCAATATCCTTCCTTTTTTGGCCTCTTTTCAAGTAAATATGAAAATCATAATCCTGTAAGTAAGCTATGAACATGAAAATTGATGGAAAAGATCCAGCCCCTACCTCATTGTGTTCTATTTTCAAATTATACAAGGAGGCACAACTCGATTGATATATATAT